CAAAGTTTAGGGTGCAACAGAAAGTTTTTGAAGAGCTACTCAATGGTAAGTCAGTATGATCCACAAAGAGGGCAGAGGGGATGAATTTTTCGGGAAATTTGCGAAAATATATCAATTTTTTGTAGGATTTTTGAAATGATAAGTAACGGCCATTAGAACTTTTTGTCGCCCTCGATTTAGCTTTCATGGATTATCTGGGGGCGACAGGGATTGGGGGGAATAAGGACTTAAAAGGAGTTCGATTTACAGGTATTGCCATACGATGAACAAGGAACAGTGGTTGAGATTGGTTACACGGGATTGCGTAACATTGGCAACACATGTTTCATGAATTCCACGCTGCAAATGCTCGTGAACTGCAAAGAACTGCAGATTTATTTTGGCAGTAAGCATTTTTTTTAATTTTGTTTTTTTCTTAAAAAACCTGAAATTAGCTCCATGTTATTCGTTTTTGTGCTTAAGACTTGTTTCAGTACTTGGGAATTTTTCACTAGAAATAAAATTGATGTATGAGTTTTTTTGGATTTTTTCTGGTGTTTAATCTTTTGATGGTTGTTCCTCCTATCGTAGCTAAGCAGCTATTTAAGGATTTTTTCTTTTCTACAGTCAACATTTTTCCCTAATCAGGTTCTGAATATCAAGCCCCGGGATGAAGCGCAGACATCAGTTTTTGCATTTTCACTTCACTTTTTGTGTCTCATTTTCCTTGAACACTGTTACAATGATTATTTTCCTTTTTTTTTTAATTTTTTTCCCAGATTTCCAGCCCTCATTTGTTCAGGTACATGTTAAAATTCTAACTCTAGTTCGAATTGACTGCTATCGATATGCAGAGACAACAGTGTACATATTCGTAATCTTCTTTCAGAGGGCTACTACAAGAAGGACATCAATAAAACCAATCCGCTCGGTTTTAGTGGCCGTCTGGCGGAAGTATTTGCTGAATTCATGAATCAGATGTGGAACGGAATGAATCGTGTTTATGAGCCAACAAAAATTAAGGTATCCAATTTTTTTTTTTTCAACTGGACTATTCAGGCTTGAGGTTTACTGACGATCAGCTTAATTGTGTCAAGTTCAGAATTATTTTTTGGATCGGATTCCACCTGCCGGAAAACGACTGGCCACTAGGACTATTAGAAAAAATTCCCTTAAAATTTCAGCTCCCTAGCTTTTCTGGTACCCGAATTAGCAGCTTACCCGCCAGTTGTAAATGAATATTAATTATGTGCCTATTAATTATGTACCTCATTTGGAACTGAGGTTTTCTATATATGTTCTGTGCCTCATAGAGAGGAAATTCAAGAAGAGGTAATGGATTTTCTACTTAATCCCTTGAAATTCTCAATTTTTACGTGGGAAATCACTGGGTTATCCGGTTTGGCCAGTTAGACTTAAATCCTCTCATATTGAATTTAGATAATTATCCAGGACAGAGTTCCACTTTCCTTACATCAACAAAAGTTATCACAGTTGAAGAATCGTGTTTGTAGGAACTTGTTGCTGAGAAAGCAACACAGTTTGCAAATTTTGCTCAGCACGATGCACATGAATTCCTGAGTTTTGTACTGGATGGGCTTCATGAAGATTTGAATCGTATACGCGCCAAGCCAACCACAAACACCACTGAAGCGGAGGGTCGACCGGATATTGAGGTTTGCTTTTAAACTCTTTTCTTCTAGATGGACTTATCTCCAGTACATTAGATCAGCTAGAGCACATCGCCCAGCTGACCTGATATAGACGGCATGATAAGTAACGGCCATTAGAAAGCTGAATCGTAAGTGGACGGGCGAAGTGGGTTAAATTACGGCTCGGCCCCTTGGTAGGCCGAACCGTAATTTCTGAAGTAAATGGCTAGTCCGAACCATGAAAAATAAGGAACAGCCGTAACCTATAAATTTAAATGTTGACTGGGATTAGTTGATAGATTATGATGGAAAAGATAGTAGAGCTGTAAATGTGGTGCAAACGGTGTAACATGTTGAAAAGTCATGTAAAGAGGAATATTTAGAAAACGTACAGAATTCAGAATGCACCAGTTGATAGTTTGATTTGATCTGTAGGCAGGTAATTCCCTCTTTCTACGATTTGTTCATTCATTTCAATAGTATCGGACTGGTCCATACAAGAATACTAGCCATCAGTTTGCTTCAAAACAGTTCTCGAAATAGGAATTCGTTGAGGTCCTGCTAGCGGGGATGGTTTTCGGCACATGCTACCACTTGGGGCGACTTCTGAATGCCCCCTTTTATCATAGAGAGCGAATACTGAAGAGATTTTGACTTTTATTTTGCATTATTTTCAATCTACATTTTATTTCTACATTTATTTCTATTTATTTATTTCTATTTATTTCCTATCTATTTATTTATTTCTGTATCACTCTATATATTTTCTGTTTACTTCTATTTCTACATTTCTACATTTTCAGCATTATTTTCTACATTTCAATCTATATTTATTCTGTTCCATTACGGTTCCATTTCTTCTTCAGGTATCCAGAGAAGCATGGCGTAACCATCTGTTGCGTAACGATTCCATATTTGTCGATCTCTTCCATGGCCAG